CAGCCCCCACTTTAATTGTGAATGTTGTTGTATTTTAAATTTTGTATTGTCTTATTTATTCCCCTTCCCCTTTTACTGTAAGCCACCCAGAGTCCTTCGGGAGTGGGCGGCATACAAAACCAATAAACTCAACTCAATTGAACTCTTTCCCCATATGTTCAGATATGCTGCCTTATTGTGGTGGGGGTGTTCTGGGGATGGATGAGTGAAGAATGCTTGTGATATAATATATACCAAGAGTTCCCAGCAGGGTCAGCCAAGGCATGAAAGCTATCCAACTAAAGCAAGTGGGTACCTTTATTCGGCAGCAATCTATATAAAAATTGTGATATAATATCAATTGATAGGCCCCTAGGAAAAAGATTGCTTAGAATATATCAGGATATGAATGGTGTTTGTGATGCAAGTAAACCTTACAATATCTAGTTGTTGAAGTTGGCATGAAAGAAATAGAAATCCAAGGTGCCCCCTCCCAAAAAAAAATTACAGCGGGAAAAGGGAACATGAGATCATGAACATGAAAAGCTCAACACAAAGGAAGATTAAACGCATCAACCACCTATAGATATTTTAGGCATTAGTGTATTCAAATGGACCAGATTTGGATTCTTTAAACGAGAAGATCATACTCAGGGCAGAAAAATCAAGAAGAAATGTCAGCACTGGGATAAAATGAAGTTCAATTATTAAATATCTATTAGATTTTGCAGACAATTCTGCAATAATAATTATATTATCCAGGTCTATGCACCAATCAATAATGCAGAAGTATAGTTAATGAGTTTCATGGTCAAGTCAACTAACAGAACATGGGAACATTTTTCCAATTTTGGAAATAGTAAAGAGGAAAACGTAATTAGACAATATAGTCTACGAAACATAAATAAAGAGAACAATTTATCATTTTCTACAAATTTGATGACTTTGTCATTGTTATAGCATTCTTCCAACAATCAAAATGACACCTATAAAAATTCACATCATCAAATGAACTACATAGGAATCAAATTGACTATATTAATAGTACAAGGAAGTGGAAAAGCTCATTAATAACAGCAAAAATGTGGCCAATAGTTGACTGGCTGGCAGGTCAGTTAAAATGGAAAAGCAAAGCCAGTTACTCCAATACAATCTTGAACATATACCAACCAATTTCAAGGAGAATGCTACAAATTATTTTGAAGTCCTGAACTCCAATGATAGGAAGAAGAGTCAATTGGGATGAAATAAAGGAAAAAATAAGAATGAATGTGAAAAGGAATTTAAAAAGAAGAAAGCAAATTGAGTATTTGTAGAGAATAAGATATATAGCCTTGGCAGAGATATGCAGGAATGCTACCTAGGCAAAAAGAACTGAAGCAATTTTAAATGTTAGATGCCTACCTACCTGACTAAATATAGTTTTAGTTTTCCAGTGGAGTTGAGTTCCTGATCAGGTCTATATAGTATTGCTGATAATGTCAGAATAAATGAAAATTTCCAAGAGAAGCCAAAGCAACAATTTCAGGGAGGAATTTAACAAATAATTTCAGAGCCCTGCTAGAAGAGACAAGAAACAGTATTACAATAAATTTCTAAAGACATTGAAAACAGGCTTTGAAAAATGAGTGTTCCAAAAGTTCCCTGAACTCATAAAGAGGTTCCAACCTTGAAGTGGTATTGAAGGACACCAATGGAGAGATAGTAACTAATTCAAAAAAGACCAGACAGATAGAAGTATGCTGAAATTCTGTGCAGTAGATGTATCAACATCTAAAATACTTTAGAAGATTTTTCCTATTTGGAAAAAAAACCCCTCTTAATATTAGGAAATGATTAAATCAGCACTCTAGTCAGTACCAAGCTAGAAAGCTACAGCAATTGATGCAAATGAATATCTACAAAAAAGTAACAGAAGAACCAGTAAAGATTCCAACCAAACTATGGCAATGCTACTCTGATAACATTACTCTGATTGCTGAAAATGCAAAGATCTAGCAATGAAAGTTAAGGAGCACAATGAAAAAAATGGGAATAAAGTTATATATAAAGGCTAAACTAATAACAACAGGTATACCAATCAGCCTTAGGAATGAAAATGAAGATACTGAAGTGGTAGACAGCTTCTGGGTTTATTTTTTTACAGAATGACAATCAACAGTAAAAGAACCAACGCCTAATAAATACACTGCAGATGAGCACTTGGTAAGTAATAAGTGTTACTTACTTACAAGTAACAAGTGTTACTTACTTGAAAAAAGTGTTCTAAAGCCATGAACATGTCTATACTTATAAATATCAGAATCCTTATATGTACCATATTTTTAGGACAATAAGACACACTGAAGTATAAGTTTTCGAAGAGAAAAACAAGCAAAAAATAGTTTTGGGTCTCCGTGCGTCAGGTTTTTGCACTCCCTGGCCCCCAGGAGCACTCTGCAGGCCTCTCAAACCCTCTGCATGTTCAATTTTTGCCAAAATAATAGGCGTATTACTCTGATTTTGATCATCAAACCAAATTATCAATAGTCTTTCAATGATTAAATAACTGTATTGTTTAGTAATAATTGTAGTTTCCATGAAAGCAGGGTCTTTCAATGCTCCATTAGTCCCACTTTATCTTTCAAAATTGTTCTGATCATCATCTTTCATCTCTTTCTGATCACTTTATTATTGACACTTTATTTTCTCTCATGATTGTTTGCCTTTTCTTTGATGCATCTTTAATACTTTTAATAGACTTACACTTTGGAAGCATGGTTACAAAGAGAGAAAAATTAAAGCCAAATAAAATGTTATACGCTCAACACAGCACTAATAACAAAGTGATTTCCTTCTTCAAGACAATGAACTGTTGAAGCCGCAGTTTTCAAGAGCATCACAAAGTAGCACATGAGTTCATAATTATTAATAACTGCATTTAACTTAATTTTTTTAAATATAATAGGCTTTATGGCAATTCATTCATAAGTACAAGTTCCCTCTAATTCGGATGTTCTTAACCCGGGAACTGCCTTATGATCATATTCTGGTAGGAGTATTTTAATGAATTCAAAGGGCAATTAGTTTGGGGAGCAGATATGCCATTCTAGCATAATAATTAGAACACATCATTAATGCATTGATGGAAGTCCTCTTTAATGAATTTGAGATGTCAGCACAATGACAAGTCCAAAGATTAAGTATAATATAATCTTATCAAAAGATTGTCTGTTTTACTATTCCCTTTGCTACTTTTTTTTTTAAAAAAAAGTGCCTGGGAAGTCTTCCTTTTCACCAGTAGGCAACATTTGTCAATTACAGAAATATTCCCCAAACTACCATGGATGGACACTAGATAATATGGTCCCATTTTAAATCCATCCCCTCAAGTTAGACAGTCAAGTTAGCCAGACAGTGATATGGTAAAAGATGACAGTAAATGTTTAAAATCTTTATTTTAGAAAGAATACAAGCTAAGACACCAGAAAAGAAAGTTTTAAAAAACGTTTAAAATTGTACTTGGAGGGCATGTAAATAAGAAAAGAGAATTGAGTTACCTGCTGCAAATGTTGGATGACAAATTCATCATTTGTCATTTTGCATTTCTCGTGCAAAATTGCACATTTTGAAGCAAGAAGCAAGTTATGCTGATCTAGAGAGATTGCATAATACTGAACCATTTAGAAGACCCACTTGAATCAAAGCTGTAGAGTCTGAGGGCTAAATGTGACCCTCCCAAATTTAATGTAGCACCTGTTGCAATCACAATGATCATGCCCAAAGGTGAGAAGTAATAAATAAATAGAAGGTCGTATTACTTGTATGTAATTAATTTAATTATATATACACAATTTAATTTAGGCTCTGCCCAATATGTTTTGGACTATGGGCTGGGGGCATCTGTGGAGAGACAGATATCTATAGCATAAAAATATTCTGTGCCACAGAACAAGTGAAACCCCTTACCCTGTTAACATTCATTACATTTATCACACCCATGTAAAAAAAAAATGACACTGTTAACCTCATCTAAAGAGTCATATGCTGCCTTTAGCTCAAAGCATTTTGTGCATTTCAATTCAAAGGTAAACTCTGGTCTCTCTTCCTATTCTATTCTTGCCTCTTATTAAAAAAAAAAAATTCTGCAACCAGACTTTATTTTGTACTACCCACTACAACTTTTTGGAATGAATGTGAGAAATGCAGCAAAATGATTCCCAGACAAGGAGCCTTAGTAATAAAGCAGCTTTCCAGAGTAAAAGGCCTACGTTAAAACCAGCAAAGGATAATGAGTTTATGTACGGTTTTGGCTTTTAAAAAGTGGGAGAAGAATTTAATCATTTCTTTGAATCTTTGAAAACGTAACTAATTAAGACCACAGACAATTTTAAAAAAAGGTACAATTTAAAAGATGATCATTATTACACACACAGGATTCAAAGATTAGGTCTGGCTTAATGACTGGTCCCAAGCAGCTTTAACAGAAATCAATGAAGCCTCTCTATTAAAAAATTACAGTAAGAATCACTGGATGTTTTGGCAACAAATTAGAATGCTTTCAGATATTCAAAGTTCAAATTAGTTTTGTTGATGTCTGAACCAGCAGTTGGATTTTCTTTCTGTCAGCTGAATCCAAGTCCAAGTCCCTTTGGCCTCTGGATTGCCCGGATTGGTTCGGCTATCCCTTTGCCATCTGGCCCAAGGCCTGTGCCAGGTGTCCAGCCCATGCTTTGGAGCATCCGATTCCCAATGTTGCTGTCTGAGATTGGCTGTGCATTTTCACCAATAAACCCTGAGACAAAAAGGAATATGCAACATTAATCAGTACAATCACATGAATAAGAATGAATGCTAATTTGAAAATAGTACAGGCTGATTTCCTTCCTTATTTCAAATAAAATGCATTATATGAATGTGACAATGTGATTGCATGACGTAATTTTGTTAAAACACTACTTACAGCCGAATGTCTATGGAGGTTCATCCAGGTGATGGTTGTCCCAAAGGTTCTTTTTCAAGAGGCAATTGGACTTTCTGGTTTTTGTCCTTTGAAGATGTTTCGCTTCTCATCCGAGAAGCTTCTTCATTTCTTCAGAAGTGAAACATCTTCAAAGAACAAAAGCCAGTATGTCTTCAAAGAAGGAAAACCAGAAAGTCCGATTGCCTCTTGAAAAAGAAACCTTTGGGACTCCTTACAGCCAAAAGCTTGAAAGATTTATATAAATTACAGAAACTAAACTTCAGTAATAGAAGTAGAAATACAGATAGTATTTTTAATGATACACCTCTATTCCATCCATTTAAATTGACATGTTAAATCTATATAGCATTTCCATTCTGAAAAAGATGCTTTGAAGTGTATAAGGCAGAAAAGTTTCATATGTCTGCAATCCTTTCACGGCTGCAGTTTTCTTGGGATTATATGGTTCCTTTACAGAGTTGCAGACAGATGCTATGCTTGTGTGCTTGTGAACTCTGAAACACTGTTTAGGTATCAAAGTGTTGCATAGCTTAAATATTATTTGCAATATGGGATAAATGAAACATTCTATAGTCTATATGTAATAAATCAGGGGAACTCCTTAAAAAGAGAAAAAGGGGGCAAAAAGAAAACAAATTTGCAATTTAATTTTTATTTCAAAATAATGTGATGTCATTAAAGGTAGATTTCTATGAAAATTAAGGCATGCAATTTTTCTCAACAGCTGTTGGTACAGGTACATTCTGGTTAAACAGAGCACTAGCATTCAGTGCCATACCCTTTATTTTACAGGGTTTGCTATGAATTAATTTAATTCCATCTGTATGCTAAAATCAGATCAGAGGTCTAATGCTGCTATAGACTTCACATCTGTTTAATCATTTTAGGATACAGCAGCTTGTTGAAGTTCAGACTTTATAACCACGTAGTATTTAAAAATGGTGAGAATATTTTAATAGTTGGAGAATTTCAATAGGTCTTAAACTGAAAAGAATGTCAGACGTATTGACTATCCTTCAATATACAAAGTATTTTCTAACATTTATAGCTTTTGATTTCTCAGTTTTTAAATGGTACTTTTAAATGGACTTTTGAAAACCAGATGAATACAGAACTGGCCTCAATTAAGTAAAAATGTCATTTTCAATATGCGTGAATCTTTAACTCCTAACACTACGATTGAAAAAAATCTTCCCTTTCATGACTGTAATAAAATTTATCCTGCTTTATGTTTAACAGAAGATTGATGCTGCCATTCAAAGTATGCTTACCAGGAAGAAAAAACTCACTCAGGATGGACAGGTTGTAAATACTGTATTCCTAGGCCATAGGAATACAATTTACAGGATTATGCTTTTTTTAAAAAAAAACATTATATTGAATACATTTAAAAGATTCAGGATTGAGAGAAAATGCTATTTTCATGGGATATAATGTTTGATTTAGATATTTGCATTTTTAGAAAGAAATGACCATTACTTTCATGTACTATATGCATATATTTCATGGTTAGACAGTTATATATATACACACTTCATTTTAATATTAGCAATAGCAATAATCAAATCTACACAAATACCCTTCCAAATGTTAAAAAAAAAATCAGAGTACAGATTTGATATACAGTTCCCAATTCCCACAAAGCAGTTTTTAGTTATTCAGAACTGGTTGTCCGATTGTCTAACAGGATGAATCTATAGTCAGCTTCTTGAACTTAGGAGAAACTACTGCAGTAAAATAGGAGCTGCACACTTTTAGGACTGAAGCTTTGTAAGCAACTAGACAACCCATGCCCCATTGAGTCAACATTTAATCATCATTTCTTTACCTGAGCAGAGAAACAGAATGACTTTATGTGGGCAAAACAGCAGCTGAAGTTAAGAGCAACTTTTGACTTCCTGCCACCTTCCCCATTGAGTTTTCTTGTGGGAAGCTGACAGGGAAGCTTTTCCTTTCCTTTCCCCTCCTCTCTTTCCCTTTTTCTTTCCTTTACCTTCCTTCCCCCCCCCCCCAACACTTCCTTTCTCCTTCCTTTGCTTCCTCAAAATTGTGCTGGCTTCTCCATTTATTTTGCTTCTAGGAAGCTTGTAGGGAGAAAGTCAGTGGGGAAGCCAGGAGAAAACTGCAAATCCAAAGTCAGCAGGCGGTTACCTCCCTACGACCGATTAGATCCCACAGATTAGGCCTCCTCCGAATTCCATCCGCCAGCCAGTGCCGACTGGCAAATCCCCGGAGGAGGGCCTTCTCTGTGGCTGCTCCGGCCCTCTGGAACGATCTCCCCATGGAGAACCAGACCCTCACCACCACTGTTCCCTCTAAGGTGCGCGGGTGAGCGGCCGTGCACGTGGCAACAAAACACCGCGCAGCAGTTTCCAAGTGCTTCCCAGTGGTTTTTGTGAGACGCTTT